TTATAGGGTTTAGGGATTTAGGGGAGTTTAGGGTTTAGGTTTTAGGGTTGTTTAAGGTTTTTTAATAGGGCGCACATTGGGAGTAGATAGAGCCTGACAGGGTTATATAGTGATTTTATTATGTATATACTTGGATTGATAGGAATACAAGTCCCAATAATGGAATTGATTGGAAACGGCGCTCCTAGTGATGGTTTGAATAGGATCACTCCTTTCGCCCAAACAAAACCTCCCATTCCCGAATCATAGATGTGCTCCAAATGTATAAGGGTATTACATGGAGAGAATTCATCCTACATGTTTAGACTCATTCATGTAATGTCTTTTATCCGGGCCCTCAAAACGGCCGACTCGCCAAGAAGTTCAAGATAACGACCCCTTGGTAAGGGGGAGTTGGGGGCTAACCCGGGTGCCACCCATTTCTCAACCCTAAACCCTAAACCCTATTACTGTTCAATGATGTAGTCCTGCCTCCTAAGGGTTTGGATCACTTCGGATAGCTCAGGCGTTAGTTGCCGCCGCCACACCAGACCTGCCCCTGCCGCGCCACCTGTGGCACAGCCGCGATGTGGTTCCTTGTCATAGATTTGGCCTTTTGCGTGTTGTGTGTTGTGTGTGTGTGTGTGCGTGCCTTTCTTCCTCTTCACCCCCATGGTTCTCATGGGTTCACAGGAATAAGAAATGTTCATTACTGCCTTGCGGTCCCAGCAAGTGTCCAAGGCCTCCCTTGGCGAAGGCGAGCTAGTCCTCCGCGCGCTCTCCTCTCCGGAGGGGGGCGTGGACTGGCTGCGAAGCTTTGATTCAGCACTGGGTTTTCCTTGCTGGACAGAAAAGATCCCCTACAGTGGTCCCTGTATACTCTTGTGTCATAGTCCGTGGAAGCCTTTCCTTTTTCTAGAGAGCACCAGTAAGCTTCTTCAGTTGCGTGGTGGAGGCATAAAAGCCTTGTGCCTTGGAAGAAGGACGTTCTAGCCACATCAAGTTTGCTTTTTGACAGGTTGCTGGCACAGCTTTTCAGATCAGTGGAGAACTTCCAACTGCATTCTTGCAAGCATGAAATGTGGGGGCTGTCCCGCGGACATTACACACAGAAATAGTATGTTTTTCCTACCAAATCGTCAAACAGCTGGGGCTGAGCAAAACCAAAATCGTTGATATCGGTAGTGTCTGAAAACTTACTGGGGGGTTAATAGGGAATAAGGGCACATAATCCTCATGTAAACCCTATATAACATATTCCCTTATTCCCCGTTAACCCCCAGTGAGAAAACCTGCGAAGCGTCTGCACAGCCAGGTTGGAGTTAGCCCTGAACCCTAAACCCTAATTAAACCTTAAACCCTACCTACCTACATACATACATATACATATACATATATACATGTACATACATATTCTCTTGTTCCCCACTAGCCCTCAGTAAGCAGTTAGGTTGGAGTTTGTACATCTTCCCACAAGGACCGGGCAGGGGATGGTCTCGGAAAGTCACATGTGACGCCACCATCGAGATGTTTAGGGTTTATGGTTAAGGGTTTAGGTTTAGGGTTTATGGTTTATGGTTGAGGGTTTAGGGTTTATACACGCCTCTTGAATCTTACTCGTTCCTGGTCAGGAAGAAGGGGATAGTGCAAAAGAAGCTGAAAACTACTATAGTAGAATAGGTGTATTTTGGGGTTATAGTAGTGGATAAGGGCACATATTTTATAGGGATTATATAGGGATGTTATTCCCTTATTCCTAGTAAGAACCAGTAAACAACATTCCCGCTTGCTGCAAGTGAACTTCCCTCGCTGACCCGGGTTCGCCCAGGATAGGGGAAGCTGAAATTTGTCAGGAGCTGTTGCACCACATGTCTGGTCCATGATTGTGTATGTACCTGTATGTACATTCACATGTAGAATCCTAAGCCCTAAACCCTAAACCACATGGTATGTGTGCTCAGATACCGGGACTTTAACTAACAGTTTTTTTGGTGCGTACCCAAACTTTTCCACATACCTCATGATGCCTAGCTTTTGACTTGAGAACAACTGTCCTCGTTCATCATGCCCTCTTAAGTGGAAGTGGCTCCTCAACTGAGTTGGGACCAGACCCTAAACCTTAAACCCTACTACCCTAAACCGGTAACTGAAAAGTTTTCTCCAGGCCTCCACCCTGACTCCTGCAAGAGCCAGGCCGGATTAAAGCTTACCTGGACCGCCCCCCCCTCGGGATAATGGAAAAGAAAATGGAAACTACCATATTACAGGGCTTTATGGCTGTTATTCTGGGTTTAGGACTATTAGTTTACGTACTTTCGGGGTTTAGGTAACCCCTAAACCAAATCTCCAAACCTGCGATTGCACCGCAACTGCAAACAATACTTACTTATCTCCCTTTTGTTGAAGCGTCACATGCACCTTCAAGTCACATTCTTGCAAAACAAGCCGCTGTAGCTTGCTAAAGCCCACTTTCCCCTCAAATTAAACTTGTCAAGCACGCCCCGAACGATGAAATTTAAATGCACTCCCCAATACATGTAGAATCTTTTACACCAGGGGTCCAAAACCCTAGGGATTAAGACTTGCAGCCTCCTTGCTCAGAAACTAGTGTTGAAAACATGTACCTTTAAGGGTCCCTAGAATCCACCTAAAAAGCCTAAGAGCCCAGATTAGGGGCAATACCTACTCTGGACCCTAAATCCTAAATCCGAAATGCTAAACCCTAAATCCTAAACCCTAAACCCCAAATCCCATACCACATTAGGGCCCATACTTCTAACCTTACACCGAAGGACTTTACGGCAGCTACTGGCCTGGCAGCCAAAGGATGCTGCTGGCAGCTAGCCTGAATCAGTTCAGGCGGTTTAGGGTGTAGGGTTTAAGGATTATATACGCCAGGGAGTTATATAGAGGATTATATAGGCTTTAGGGTTTAGAGTGTTTAGGGTTCAGGTCGGGATTTCGGGCTCAGGGCATTCAGGGCATCAGCAAGATTTTTGAGGATGTTCACAACACCTGCGTCTCCCAGGACCGACACAACAGCGATGGCTGATATGTTGCAATCTGTACCCGTGGACATCTCCCCATACCCTGTCTATGCACCTTCCATGTTGATCCTACAATCCTTTGAGTCTGTAAATCCTAAACCCTATCAACCCTAAATCCTAATTTGAGTCCCTAAACCTTAAAACCCTAAATCCCTATATTCTAAGCCCTAAACCTAGCCAGCTCGTTGATGCTGAGGCCGGGACGCTGCACCTGCAGTCGCTCGGTTGCTCCCGTGGCGTGGTTCTTCGCTTCCTGGAGAAGGCCTCGGTCAATGGTTCTGATGGGTGCTTTTGGGGCACAGGCTCTAGCGGTTTAGCGTTTTAGGGGTTTGGGATCTAGGGGTTTAGGGGTTCAGGGTTCAGGGGGTTAAGGGTTTGAGGGTATAGCTCTTCCAGACACCAGGGTCGTAGTAGTAGAAATTCAGCAAGCAGGCCATCAGGTAGCTGTTTGGATCTAAGCCGGGGGATACCCTACAGCCTAGATGCCAGGATCGAAGGTTCGATGAAGTCTACATGTGCGCGCCGTAGAAGCCTATCTACTTCGAGCTGCAAAGGCTTGTGGCTAGAGCCAGGCACCCCCCCCTTCTCAAAAAACAAGAGCTTGTATGCTGGAAGGCCCACAGATTTTAGATGAAAACCTATCCAAGAACAACTTTGCGGTTCAAAACCCAGACCTGCCCCTGCCAGACATGTCAAGCGACGCGCAGCAGCGGAGTGCCCGCTGCGTCGCAAGCTTCGAGAGCGGTGAAATCAGATGGGTCGAGGCACTCCATCGACAATCTAGAAACAGTAGTCGACAGGAGCAGCTTGAAAGTAGCAACTGCTGGAAGTGAAGAACCAGAAGCAGTAGCATCACGAAGTGGTGTTGCACGTGGGAGTTTTAGCGCTCACAGCGACAACAGCAATAGCAATCAGATCCTTGTCCCTCTACAGACTCCTATATGGGGGTTTCCCAAAATTAGTGGTACCTTATTGGGGGTCCCTATAATAAGGACTATAGTATATTGGGGTCTATATTGGGGGTCCCCCTATTTAGGGAAAGTACCATATATCTTGATGTAGGGAAGTGAACGTTCTGAGTTTGGCTGGGTTGGCCTTTGGGATACTTACATCTTTTCCCGAATTGGTTTCAGAAGGACCCTATATACTAAATTGTTCAAAGGGTTAAGCCCTAAACCCTAAACCCTACCCCAACTTTTTTGGAAGCTTGAACCTGAAGCTCTTCAGCTAGGGTTTAAGGCCCTTTGAGGGTTTAGGGTTTGGGGTTGGGGTTTGGGGTTTAGGGTTGATGGTTTGGG